TGGCCTGGAGAGTGGTTCTCACACCTGATTTAAACATTTGAGTCACCTGGAAACTACAGAAAATGATGAAACCAAACCCTGCAGGGCCACTCCTAGGTATGGGAATGAGACAGAGGAGGCACATCTACAAAAGACTGTGGAACTACGTTCCTGTCAGCTTATTAACAGCTGATGGCTGGGAACAGCCGAGCTGTCCATCCGTAGGATACTAGACAAACAGGTTAAAGTCCTATAGTCCGAAAAGGAAGAAAGAAAAACCCACCAGTATGTGTGCATTGCAGTGATACTACGTTGAGCAAAGGACACCTCACACAAGAGTGCGTGCAGTACAGTCCCTTGTATGTGAAGTTCAGAGCAGGGAAAACCAGTCTTTCGTGGCAGAGGTGGGCAGAGGGCAGTGCCCGACCCCTGGGGTGCTGGGGGCATTCTCTCTTGGTCTGCAGGATGACACGTGCTGTGTTTGGATGTGGCAGTTCGTCGTGCCATGCACTTCAGATTTGTGCATATAAGCGGCTTATGCCTTGTGCTCATTTCCTGTGACACCTGTAATAAATTACCATCAACTTGGTGATTAAAAAAAACAAAAACAGAAAACAAAGCAGGAATGTATTCTCTCCAGAGGACTGCACGCCCTCTGGAAGCTTCAGGGGAGGGACTCCCTGTCTCCCCTAGCTTCTGGCAGCCTTGTGGCCACATCAGTGTCTCTGCCCCTCCTGTCACTCTGCCGTCTCCTTGTGGGTGTCAGATCCTCCTTGGCCTCGCTTATGAGGATACACGTGATAGCGTTTGCTTTTCGTTTTCATTGTTCTTTTTTCCAAATACTTATTTATTTATTTGGCTGTGCCAAGTCTTAGTTGCGGCACTTGGGATCTCTGATCTTTGTTGCCGCATGCGGGATCTTTAATTTTGGTGTGTGAACTCGACCTCTTAGTTGTGGCCTGTGGGATCTAGTTCCCTGACCAAGAGTCGCACCCGGCCCCTCACCCCCATCCCCAGCCCCCGAATTGGGAGACTGGAGTCTTAGCCACTGGACCACCAGGGAAACCCCCATGCGATACCATTTAAACCCACCAGATAACTCAGGATACTTTTCTCATCTTGGGATTCTTAGTTACATCTGCAATTCTTTGCTGTAGAAGGTAACATTTATAGGTTCCATGGATCGGGACCTGATACGATGCGATGTGGGGGGCCATTATTCAGCCTGTTATATAACTAAATTTGAAAGGAGAATTCTAAGTTACCAGTGCAGTGACCCTACCCTACACAATTGACTCAGACTCTCTGCTGTTTCTGTCGGTAAATCATGCAGTCCTGGGCTCAGCATGTGGAGAGACCATGATCTAGAGGTTGTGCGTCCTGTCTCTGTGAGTTCAGGATGTGCCTTTCTTGCTCATCACTTATCACAGTGCAGAGTTGACTTAAGCAACTTGTTAAACGTTGAATGAGTTAACGTGTGAATGAATATAGCTACTATTAAGGTCTATTTTTCATGCATAACATTTATGACACCAATTATGTGGATTTTTCACAACAAACAATTCTGTCATTCTTTATGGACACCAAGTGGATGTCCTACAACTTAATTCAATTCTAACACTTAACTACCAGGAGTCAAAGCAGACCCCACAGGTGACGGGCTTCACCCCACAGGTGAAGGGCTCAGTCCCAGAAGACTGCCTCCACTTCGATGCCAGTCACAAGTGGTGAGTCCCCAGGTGATACCCACTTCTTTCTGGTTTGGCTACAAATCAAGAAGTCCCCTTCTCCATTCAGTAGCTTGCTATGATGGCTCTTAGAACTCAGGGAAATACTTTCCTCATGTTTACTTTTTTTAGCCAAACCACGTGGTTTCTGGGATCTTAGTTCCCTGACCTGGGATTGAACCTGAGCCCTCAGCAGTGAAAGCATGGAGTCTTAATGACTGGACTACTAGGGAATTCCCTCTTTACATTTATTATTATCGTAAATATGAATTCTTTACATTTATTGTAAAGGATACTGATGAAAAAAATGTATATAGTGGAAGGTCTGGAATGGGCTCAGACCTTTTGTCCCCATGGGGTTTGGGGTCTGACCTTTGTTGATCTTTGTTGATCTTTGTTGCACAACCTCTTGACACATGAATGTGTTCACCAACCCAGAAGGGTTTTCCTGGAGGTTCCATTATATAGACGTGGCTGAGTAAATCATTTGCCACTGGTGTTTCCCCAGTCACCTCCCTGGAGGTCGGGGATGGCGCTGCAAGTTTCAGCCCTCTAATCAGATGGTTGGATCCCCCCACAATCAGCCCCCATGCTGAAGCTCTCTGGGGGCACCAGGAGTCACCTCATTAGCATAAACTCAGGCACAATTGAAGTGAGTGTGGCCACAGTCAACTGGGATGATCTGAAGTCAGAGGACCCAGCCTCAAACCCAGCCTGCCACTTATCAGCTAACTGACAGGGCCCAAGTCCCCTCCCTCTCCCACTCCTGTTTCCTCATCAGGAAATTGGGGACCCCTGAATTGTTGGGGTAGGGAATTCATAAGATGACATGTGAACCTGTTGGAAATCCAAAACAAATGTACATCTTCCATGCAAAACATCTAATGCTGAGCCCATCGTAAATAGTGACTTCCTGCATGAATCCATTCAAATCAAAAGATGCTGGGTGTTAGGCAAGTGGGATATATGTGCCTGCCTCTGTTGGCATAAAATACACTCCCTGTAAACGTGTGGAGCTTGTGAAATAGCTATGTGCTCTTTGAACACTGCAAGGAGGGACCCTAGAGGATACAAGCTGGGTGGGGGAACAGATGAGGTCCTTGTGACGATTAGAACTGTAAAACCCTCTCCTAAGTTGAGGGTGATGTCCTAACCAGTTCATTTTTTCCTGCGTAACAGCATGCCTGGTGCTGTTTAGTTTGATGGGGAAAACAAACCAAAGAAAATAAAACACCCAAACAACAACAAAAACCTTCTCAGGAGAACTTGGAGTCTAATGGTCCTTCCATAAGATGCCCTGCTTGGTCTGGGATTTTGGGCAGGTCTGGGAGAGGGGAAAGGGCCTGGTCCGGTGGAAATTTCCAAGTAGGTTTATTTTGAAGCAAAGGTTTGGCAGCCCTGACCCCGTCTCCTTGGCTAGACAGAGCTTCTTTGAAGAGAGTCAAAAACAGCAGGGGTGGGAAATGGCCCTTGAGTGAGCAGGGTTTAGTGGAATCCTCTTCTTTCAGGAAGAACTGCCAGGACCGGCCCAGGTTTCCCTTGCTCGATGGAGTTCAACTCGGCTCACCTGTGGTCAGCACAGTACCGCCCGCCCCTGCGTGTCCCCACCCCAGCCAAGACGCCCTCGCCCTGGTTCCTGGAACCTGCGTGTGTGTGACCTGACGTGGCAGAAGGGACTTGGCCGGCGTGATTGAGTGAAGGGCCTTGTCATGCGGGATGATCCTGGGTGATCCCGGCGGGCACTGTGGAATCACAGGTCCTTGAAATCAGAGTCCCTTTCCCAGCTGTGGTCAGAGAAAGAGGAGGCAATGGAGATGGGTCCAAGATGCAGGGTCACTGGCTTTGGTGATGGAGACAGGACCATGAGTCAAGAAAGAGGGGCCACTGCTGGATGCTGGAAGGGGCGAGAACAGTTTGTCCCTAGAACCTCAGGGGCCCCACTGACAGCTCAGTTTGACTCAGTGAGACCCGTGTTAAGTTTCTGACCCCCAGACAGCAGATACTGAGCATGCGCTGTTGAAGCGGTAAAGTTTGCAGAAAAGTATTCCACTAGCAGTGGAAAGTTAAAACACCATCTTTCTTCATTAAAAAAAAGAAAGTCATTGAAGTATAGTTGACTTAGTGTCGTGTTAATTTCTACTGTATAGCAAAGTGTTTCCGTTATACATCTACATACATTCTTGTTCATATTCTTTTCCATTATGCTTTATCACAGGATATTGAATATAGTTCCCTATGCTATACAGTAGGACCTGTTTATCCATTCTCTATGTAATTGTTTGCATCTGTTAACCCCAAACTCCCACTCCATCCCTCTCCCGCCTCCCTTCCCCCTTGGCAAACACTAGTCTGTTCTCTGTCTGTGTGTCTGTTTCTGTTTTGTAGATAAGATCATTTGTGTCATATTTTCAATTCCACATATAAGTGATATCATATGATATTTGTCTCTGTCTGGCTTACTTCACTCACTATGATAATCTCTATGTCCATACATGTTAATGCAGTGGCATTATTTCATCGTGACTATTACTTATGGCTGAGTAATATTTCCATTGTATACATGTACCACGTCTTCTTTATCCGTTCATCTGTTGATGGATGTTTAGATTGCTTTCATGTCTTGGCTAATATAAATAGTGAACATAGGGGTACCTGTATCTTTTCCAGTTACAGTTTTCCCCAGACATGTACCCAGGAGTGGGATTACTGGATAATATGGCGGCTCTACTTTTAGTTTTTTTTTTTTTTAGAAAACTTCATGCTGTTTTCCATAGCACCTGCACCAGCTTACATTCTCACCAGCAATGTAGAAGGGTTCCCTTTTCTCCACACCCTCTCCAGCATTTATTTGTAGACTTTTTTTTTTTTTAGTTGCACTGGGTCTTTGTTGCTGTGTGCGGGCTTTTCTCTCATTGCAGCGAACAGGGGCTGCTCTTTGCTGCGGTGCTCGGGCGTCTCATTGTGGTGGCTTCTCTTGTTGTGGAGCACAGGCTCTAGAGCATGGGTTTAGTTGCTCCTCGGCATGTGAAATCTTCCTAGCCCACGGATCAAACCCATGTTCCCTGCGTTGGCAGACAGATCCTTATCCACTGCGCCACCAGGGGAAGTCCTCTTTGTAGACTTTTTAATGATGGCTGTTCTGACCGGTGTGAGAAATCACTGTCGTTGGGATCTGCATTCTCTAATAATTAGCGGACATCACCTTTCTTGAGCACCTACTATGTGCCTGTTCCTGGGATGGGACCCCTAATCCTAGTGACCACCTGTGACACTGCGCCCATGGTCTTTTTACAGGTGAGTCAACTGAGACTCAGCGAGGTAAGCTGACACACTGGGATGGCGTGAGAGGGGATGGGAACCCCGGGATGGCTCCAGCTGCCCTGGGCCTTCTGCCACTCACAGGTAAGATGGTGGGAATGGGAACTTGAAGCACATGGTGCACAGTAGGTGTTTAGTCAGAGCTGCTTCTCTCTCTCTCCTTTTCTCAAAGATCAGGTGTCCAGCAGGCCTGACTGTGAAGTGGATGACACTTTCTTCCTGACGACACTGTAAAACCATTATAAAATCAACCCTGGTTCCCAGGGGCAAAAACCTCCCCTCACAGAACCATCTCAGTAGGTAAAAGGCTCGCGTTGGCAGAACTGGGAGGCAGGTCTCTCACGCTGGCACTGGATGATGGCTTTATGACCTCAGGCTGGTTACCACCCCTCTCTGAGAAGCGTGTAGTTTCGGTTGACTCAAGTCCCCCCTGCAGCGTCGGCCTCCAGGGAGCCTCTGAGCAAACTCTGGTCTGCATCCAGAGGGTTGAGGTCAGGCCAGGTGGTGGCTGCTGCCGTGTCTCTACACTCGTGCTGGGAGGGCACAGAGGGGCCCTCATGGCAGAGTCAAGTCCTCCTGCCATCCGAAAGGCCAAGGTGTGAGTCCCTCTGCTGTGAATCTGCCCCTTGGCGGGGCCGGTTTCCTGGCCTGGGGCGAGGCTTTGAGCTTCTTCCCCAGGAAGGTGCCCAGGTCATAGTCCAGCCCTGGCCCAGCACTGAAGCTTCATGTCTTAGCCTGGCTTTGCCAGCTGGCAACTGGCTGCCCTCCAGACAGTTACTCCTTGGAACAGAAATGTGTGAGGAAAGCTGGCTCTGCCCAGGGGTCCCCAGCTGTCCCTGGCAGTCCAACCCTTCTCCCCAAGCTGGGAGGGCACCATCCCTCAGATCCATCTTTCTCACGCTTTGCTGTCAGCATGGGAAGGGCCTCGGGGGTGGAGGTGCCCAGTAATGCTGGCCTGCTCAGCCAGCTTGAATGGTGTCCCTTAGAAAGATCTACGCCAGTCTTGCCCCTCAGAACCTGTGAATGTGACCTTATGTTTAGAAATAGGGTCTTTGCAGATGTCATCAAGTTAAGATAGGTTCTTACTGGGTTAGGGTGGCCCTGATCTAATGCCTGGTGTCCTTATAAAAAGAGGGGAATTTACTGACTTATTTATTTATTTATTTTTTTTGGTGTGTGTTTCTCATATATTTTATTTTTTTTTCTTTTTTTTTCCATTTATTTTTATTAGTTGGAGGCTAATTATGACTTATTTATTTTTAAAACAGTTCATTTTTATTATTTTCCTCAAGTATCTCTACAGACCTTAAGACCAAATTTGTCCAGGCTTAACATTCATAATTGTTTACAGGATATAATCACAAATACTTGTATTACAGTCATTGCAAACATAACAAACATATCCAAAGCAAAACTCATCTTTCCAACCCCACTTGAAGCTGGCTCAAACACTTTCTTCCCTACTGTTGCTAATGACTCAGAATATCAGTTTATTCTCACCTTAAGCCAGTGCTTCACCCCATTATCCAGTCAGGTGGAAGAAGGGAATTTAGACACAGACCACCTTGGAGAGGCCATGTAAGATGGAGGCAGAGATGGGAGTGGCTCTTGTACAAGCCACAGAATCCTCCCTGGAGCCTTCAGAGAGCCCTTGGCCTTGCAGACACCTTAATTTGATTTTATATTTTTGTTGTTTGACTGTGCTGGGTCTTAGTTGCGGCATGTGGGATCTAGTTCCCCAATCAGGAATCAAACCTAGGGCACCTTCATTGGGTGGGAGCACAGAATCTTTGACACTGGACGACCAGGGAAGTCTCTGACACCTGGACTTTAGACTTTAGGGCTCTGGACTATACATTTCTGCTGGGTTTTGTTTGTTTGTTTGTTTGCTTGTTTTTTACTAATTTTACTTACTTTTGGCTGTGCTGGGTCATCATTGCTGGGCAGGCTTTTCTCTGGCTGCAGGGAGAAGGGGCTGCTCTCTAGTTGCTGTGCCCAGGTTTCTCACTGCAGGGGCTTCTCTCGTGGAGCGCCAGCTCTGGGGCACTTGGGCTGCAGTAGTTGCAGGGTGCAGTCTCCATAGTTGCAGCTCCAGGCGCTAGAGCACAGGCTCTGTAGTTGTGGTGCACAGTCTTAGTTGCTCCGAGGCACGTGGGCTCTTCCTGGATCAGGGATTGAACCTGTGTCTCCTGCTTTGGCAATCAGATTCCTTATCACTGAGCCACCAAGGAAGCCCCATTTCTGCTGTTTCAAAGTCCTCTCGTTTGTGGTGCTTGGTTACAGCAGCCCCAGGATACTTGCACACCCGCTGCCTGCTCATGCCCATTTCCAGTAGTCAGTGCTTTGAGGAAACGTGAGAAAATCACCAAGTGTCCCTCCAAACTAAACAAAATGCAAACAAGAGGACTGACCTTGGCTCACAGCTCATGTCCTTCCTCTATTGCTGAGGGTTAAGTTATCATTTTAAGAAGGGATGCTGGTCAGGGATGGCTGTGGAACTTTATTGATTCTTTTTAGTTCTCAAAAGATTTTTCTAAATTTCTACGAAATTCAAAAGTCTGGGGACATGGGCTCTGGAGTTAAAAGAGTGCTTCAGACACCCTGTGTGTGATTTTGGAGGGGTACCTAAACCCTCAGAGTCTTCCTGCCATCAAGAGGGTTAGAGCACGGCTATTTCTTGGCCAGTTGTCAAGTCCCTTTAAAACTGGCTCCGCCCTATGCTTGCCCTTCCTGCCTGCCCTCTCTGTACCCCTTGAACTGTCTCAAGTGCTGTCTGGATGCTGCAAACTGTATTTGGTTTCTCAGAGAAGGACACCACTAAATAAATAAACAAAAGCAAAGTTCTTACTTACATTAACCCCTGAGAAGCTTAAAGATCCACTCCGGGGACTTTGCTGCCAAGTGAGCTTTCTTGACTTTCCCCATTGAAAATGAGGACCTCATTTTCTCTGAGAGTAAACAGGTTTTCTCCCAGCAGTGAGAAACATGGTGCTGATGTGAACTCAGGCTTAGGTCCTCCAGCTTGATGAAAAAAGAGAAGGGATCGTGTCTCTTTTCCTGTTTCAGAATATCAGTGGTCCAGGGAAGACTCTTGATTGGCCATCTTAGTCACATGACTAAGCCTTGGTCCTATCCCTGTGGCTAGAGGGCAGGAGGTCTTTGACTGGCCAGGCCTGAATCACATGTAGGCTCAGTGGTGGGGCCCTGTGATTGGCAGCTCACCCAGGAGCACATGACTGATAAGAGAGAATCACAGCTAGAAAGGAAGGTGGACAGTCAGGTCCTAGATGACTCTGACCACAACCCAAAGGGCCCTGGACAGGAATCAGAGCCATGAGATCCCGAACCACTGGCCAGTAGGTTTTGCACCTCCTGGTGGGGAGCTTTTACTTGGAAGACTGACCAGAGTTGTTCTGGCTGAGGCAGGAAGGGCTGCAGTGGAGGCAGGAGGGCTCAGAATCCGGCCTCCACCCTCGCCCAGGCTTCTCCACAGAGCAGGGCCTGGAGCCCGCGGGGCCATCCCACCCTCGGAACATGCGGGAGCGAGATCCCACTTTACAGACGGGAAAACAGAGGCTCCGAGGGCCCTACCCCTTGCCTGAGGAATTCGTCACAGTTCATCGCCACGTCTTCTGCTGCCCAGGCCAAGCGGTTGCCTGGAATTTGGGCCAGCCTCCTTTTTGCCCAGATGTTGGACTAGGTCCTTTGAATTCCCGGCAAAAGGGAGAGGTCCACAGACATTTCAGAGCTCAAATTAGGACAGTGGACTGTGGCTCCCTAACCTGCTTTGTGGCGAACCTGAGAAGTGACTCTGTGGTGCAGCCGGCTGGCGAGTGCCTTCAGCCTGGGCAGCAAGACCCTTTTTCATGAGTGTGAACCGCCCTCGGCCCTGATGAAACAGAAGCGGACTCCAGTTCTGAGGTTGTGCCCGCAGGATTTGCCGAGCCCAGCTGGTCAGCCCAGCCTGAGACGCACAGTCACCGAAAGCCACAAGAGTCCCCACCTAAGGGACCTCTCCTGCCCTGGGCAGCCTCTGTTGTCTGCTGGCAGTGCCCACGGCGGTGCCCCCTCCCTAGGACACCCCGGGCACACCCCAGCTGCTGGGAAGGCCCCCTGGGGCTGGTAGGTGTGGGCAGGGTCCTGCCCCTCCCCCCAGAACCACAAGACCACCTGTGAGCCCTGGCAGAGGACACCGAGGCCCCAAGATCTGCAGCCTCCCATGTTGACAGGGAGGTGGTGGGTGCCCAGAAAGCGGGAGTGTGAGTGGGGCAGGAGCGTCAGGAGGTGACTCTGGCGGGAGGCATTGAGGCCAGTGTATACACGGCGGTCGTGGATTTGCTCCTGGAAACACAAAGAGGACTGATTTCACAGGGTGGGGCAGGGGTGACTCTGCACCCAGGTCCATGCCCGCCTGAAGGACCAGTCCCTCCATCCTAGTCCACGTCAGTCTGCCTGAGTGTGCCCGGAAACGAGTTGGCTCTTTGCTTTGCTCTAATGGCAACTCTGCTGTCCTGGTATCTTCGGCTAAAACCTGGAGCTCCCCCTTGATGCCTCATTTTCTCCCATTTCACGTCCAAATGCAGAGTTACCTTTTACTCCACCTTCAAAGGGACGCCCCAGGCCACCCGCTTCACCTCCTGCACTGGCTCCGCCTGGTCTGAGCTGCCATCTCCTCTTGTCTGGATGGCACAGTGGTCTCCCCACTGTACTTGCTGTCCCCCTGAGCCCACCCTCACCCCCACTCTCCCAGCACAGCAGGTTGAGGGATGCTGGGAGAACTTGACATCAGTCGGCTCCTCACCACCCCCCCCCTTCTGAAGCTTCCATCTATGCTGCAGCGAAAAGCACCCCCCCGATTCACCTCCATGTGGACCTGTGAGTGTGACCGTATTAGGGTCTTTGCAGACGTGATGAAGTTAGAATGAAGTCAGACTCGAGTCAGGTGGCTGGGGTCCTTCGAAGAAAAGGGGAATTTAGGCACAGTGACACACATGGTCTAGTCAAAGCTATGGTTTTTCCAGTGGTCATGTATAGATGTATAGATGTGAGAGCTGGACTATAAAGAAAGCTGAGCACCGAAGAATTGATGCTTTTGAACTGTGGTGTTGGAAAAGACTGTTGAGAGTCCCTTGGACTGCAAGGAGATCCAACCAGTCCATCCTAAAGGAAGTCAGAACTGAATATTCATTGGAAGGACTGATGCTGAAGTTGAAACTCCAATACTTTGGCCACCTGATGCAAAGAGCTGACTCATTGGAAAAGATCCTGATGCTGGGAAAGATTGAAAGTAGGAGGAGAAGGGGACAACAGAGGATGAGATGGTTGGATGGCATCACTGACTTGAGTGAGTCATGAGTTTGAGTTTGAGTAAATTCCGGGAGTTGGTGATGGACAGGGAAGTCTGGCATGCTGCAATCCGTGGGGTCACAAAGAGTCAGACACGACTGAGCAACTGAACCGAACTGATACACACTGAGGGAAGACACGTGAAGATGAAGGCAGAGGTGGGAAAGATACAGCCACAAGCCAAGGACACCTGTGTCCATCCAAAGGCGGAAGAGGCAGGAAGGGTTCCCCCTGAGAGCCTTCAGAGAGAGCCTGGCCCCGCTGGCACCTTGACTTTAGACGTCTGGCTTCCAGAAGTGTGAGACGGGATCCTGCTGCTGTTTGCCATCACCCAGTTTGTGGTCGTTTGTTACAGGAGTCTGACACTGCCACTCCTTTCTGTCTCGTGTAGACTGCAGTACCCACCATCAAGCAAAAAGGCTCTGAGAAAGCCTGCAAGGAAGTATGTGCCCATTTCCCCAAGCTTATCCAAGCATACAGGCATCCACTCCACCTACCCTTTCACCTCCCACTTTGGGGAATGTTGGACTAGAAGAGCCCTGATGTGCCCTCTAGACTGAAAGTTTTATTGCTTTTGGAATTGAAAGCCAAGCCATGAAATACATAGAAATATGTATGCATGATTAGATGCTAATTTTCAATAAAGTCAAAATGCTCTTGCATTTACGGGGGAAGCAGAACAAGGCTGGAGAAGAACAGCTGCTCCAGTGAACCAGCTCCAGTCAGGCTGTCAGACGTGAGCTCCCTTGACCCCGTAGGAGCTCAATCTGAGGTCGGTCACTGTGGCAATGA